GTTGACTTTTGAGTTGACATTATTTTGCCAAAATACCAGAGCTGAAATAATTAGTTGATTAATCCCCCAAACCCAAGTGTTTAAATATGACAATCTGCTTGTAGACAGCTAATTGTTTTCACATAAGAGCTTAACTGAAGGGCATTCCACTAGTTTTATTAAAATATAAAATGACATTATTTGAGGCAGCTGCGTCTTTATAAATGACTACTTTTAAGGTCAAGAGGGAATCTTTGGTATTTTCACTTCATGAATCATTTTAGCAGCTATTTTTCTAACAGTAGTGAAATAAATGGAAAGCAATGGCTGTCACAGCTCAATCTGAAAGCTCAGGATAATATACATTAGCTGTGGAAAATGGTTGGGAGTAATGTACAGCATGCAAAAGCACACAGTGAGTGAGTGAGTCTGTCGAACCAATCATGTCTTTTAAGGTGTCACAAGCCAACCACTGGATGGATTGAGTGTCCCAACGTATGCTCTCTCGTTCTCTTGCAGTACCACAGCAGGACTTACTGAGACCATGGGCACAGTGACGCCCACGGCTGTGAGCACGGTGGTGGACACAGTGCTGCTCTTATAGGTCAGCCTGATGCTGTTGTCATTGCAGAAGAATCCTCTCTGGTAAGGCGGGAAGGGAGATTTGTGCAAAAACACGGCAACAAGCAACACTGTAAGGTTGGACACACACGGGCACAGGTCAGACAGCTTTACACCAAAACAGTGGACCGCTGCATGAACAGACATCAACAGGAAGACAAATATGAAAGCACACAAAGACAAAAATCTCAGACAGTGGTATAAATAGGTTAAAAACTCATTCAAGCTATGGATTTAATCCTGTTTTAAAAACTGACGCTGATGCTGTCATGAGAAAATGAGGCGAAATAAACAAAATAAAATGAATGTCAGAATCAAAGCTACGTCATTGTTTTAGACTTAAGTGAACCTTTTATGTTTAGAATAACATCAACTGATCTCAAACTGGCTGAGTTGGCGCTAAGAGAGTTGCATGTGACATGTTTGGAAGAGAGACCATTGCAGCTTAGTGGCAAGAAAAAAAAAACCCACAAACACTATCAGACTCTTCCTTCCTTTCCTGCCGAGGCTTTCAAGTGCACTTACAAAGGCCTACTTTAAGATGCCTCGGGGGGTGTATGCGTCTGATCAATTTAGTGTCTTTTGCCACTTAAAGTGGCAAAAAGATCTTATTTATCTCCAGACAACAAACACAGAGTGGGTGTAACTAAGATGCGAGCCAAAAAGGACAGCTTATTTTCCCCCATCTACCAAAGGCTTCAATGTAGGACTTTGAAATTTGAGTGTGGTGGACGTGGTACCCAGGAGAGGCCTCAAATCTCTGACAGAATTTGGAAAACACACTTTCAAATCACTTCAAAGCTGCATTTAACTGATGACAGAGCTTTCAAGGCTCACTTTGAATAATTCTGCGATCTGCCGATACAAAGGAAAACAAACATCGGCGCTCCATTTCTAATGTGCCCCTCTTCCTCTGGCTCTCTGTCTCAAAAGCTAAAAAGCACTGGGGTGTAGAGGTCAGAGCTGCTGAAGGCAGGATGGTTGTGGTGGCAGTAAGGGGGGGGGGCATGATTTCTCAAACCAAATGTCAACACACGCTTCAGTTGCTGAGCCCCTCAACCCCTAACATCCACACACAGCTGACTTTGGCCTTTGAAGGTCCAGCTGGGTTGAGCTCAGATTACAGACAGAGCTCTGCTGCCTGATGGGAACTCCAGAAGGCTGGCGTTCCCTCCACATTCAGCAGGATTCACATTATTAACTTTCTCATTTTCATTCTCGCTCTTCAAACAAATACCTGGACGGGGCTACACTCAGCTCCGAAGCAAGTCTGGAGACGAGAGAAAGACCAGGGTGGTATGTATTAGAGTTCTGTAACTGTAAAAATATACAGTTCTTTAAAGTAAAATCCTCAACGTCTGATTCCTTCAGTTTGCTTAGCCTGGCCATGAACAGAGCCACACAGGGCTTTCCAAAACAACAATAAAAACGCATACGTGTCTGAAAGTGCTGGATGGGAAACACATGAAGTCCTGACCCCTGAAAATGCCTTTAAACTCTTTAACAGACCCCAGGACGGAGGCAGAGGGCAGAGATTGATAGAGAGAAGCAGAGAAGTGGCAAAATAAATGAAAAAGTGTCCACAGTTAGCCTTTAAGGGACCTGCACGGGTCGAGTGCTTCAAACAGCTGATTGGAAACAGAAGAAAAAAAAATAACACAACCACAACAAGACACTGTCAGGTCTTGTTTTCCAGACATTCAGCAGGGTTTTTTTCTTCTCCGCTCAGTCCTCCGACCCCTTCCATCCGTCTAAACAGTGCAGCATCAGCATCGAGTACAGCGTGTTAGGGTTTTTCCCCTCCTACCCTCTTCCTCCTTTCCCGCTTCTTACGGCTGGGGGGAGAGGGAGGGTGTCCTCGTCTTGCCAACAACAACACCAGTCAGCAGGCGTGGGATGTCTTTTGCGTTAGCTCAACATCAACCCAAAGACAACAGAAACAAACAACATGGACTTGGAGCTGGAGGGAGACTTCCCCCCCCAGTTTTCGGTTCCTAATGTCAACATCAGGTGTCCTCTGTTCAATTTTGCCCCGAAGCGGTTTGATTAACAATCAAGCGGGGAACCCTAACTGAACATAAACACTGTAAATGAAGAGCGACGATGACTTTTTCAGCACATTACTGAGCGTTGTCTCACAAAACTTTGAATTTCCGACGCTTGCCCGTTAGCCTTTCCCCCAGTTCAGCACTGGCAGCTCCATGTAGCTGCAGTTTGTGGAAACTAGAATCAATGTATAAGCCTCATGCTGAATTAAATCCCCACCATATTTTGGAGGCATTTGCCAAAACACCACAGTGTGACTATTAAAATAAACAGACGCACATTTTCCACTTGCAGGGATCTCTCACTGTCTGGCATAGAAATGTATACACGTCTGAGGTAGTTGTGGTGTATACACAGATGCAGTTGTTTTTACTCTTAGCAGCCCCCACACAACCTACCCCCTGTCTGTCTGTCTGTCTGTCTGTGTGTCTGTGTGTAGATCCAGCCTGCTGCAAAACTTAGCTCATAGTTCCACCGTGGAGGGGGAACCAGGTCTGCCTGCTTGGGTTAAATAAAAGCGCATTTGCATTCAACTGCTAGTGGCTAGAACGGCTGCTTTTCTTCCGTTTTTCTGCTCCATTTATTATTCACTTTTCTAAAAGGAGAGGCTTTACAGACGAGGGAGTTTACATATCCGCTATTCCCATAGCCCTCCAACTGTGCGCAAACAGAAATAGTGATGCTGACAATACACTGGCCCTAACAATACATGTATGTACATACAAAGATAAATGCATACATATTAATGTCATATATAAAGTACACTTACAAAAATAAGGCAGACATTATTCAGTACCAGCGTTGGAAAATGTTCATACTGTGGAGCAGATATTATGTCTTCTAATATTATATTATATGATATTAACATGCAATGAAAATGCATCACATGTAACTCTCACGTCCCTTTCTTTTGATGACTTAACTGACTGATTTTACTTGAATTAAGATGTTCAAAAACAATCTTGAGACCCAATTGGCTGTGGAGATGCAGATTTCTGTTTCTGTTTTATTCGCTTAAGTTTTGAGATGTTTGAGACTACCCAAACATAAATATCACGAGCATTAGACACCATCAACATTACAAGAGCTTTGTGAACGAACCATTAAACTCCAACTGTCTGAACGGTTTACCTGGTTCAACATAAAAAACAAGGGTCTGTGTTCATTAAACCTAAATAGTTGCTGAGTAGCCACCTTTAAACTACTGCTAAACCAGGAAAACAGAACACGGAAACATTATAAGACGATTAACTGGGAAACATGAAAGCCACCTGCTACGGCTTAATGTAAACTGAACCTGATCACCTCATCTGGGCTTTAAGGAAACAAAAAAAATAACAGCCTTCAGCTTTCCTCAGTATTATTTGTCAGGATCCAGTTCCAATCAAGGTAAATTGCTCTTCTAGTGTACTGACCAATGTTATCTTTACTGGCACTGATGCTCTCCTGGGAACGGAGAGTTCATTTGCATGAAAGAGCAGGAGAGCGATACGCAGTCATACGAGAACTGCAATCAGTGTGTGAGAATGGAGGAGTGACGATCACCAGTACAGACCCACCATTTCCTCCCTGTGGCTTCTCTCCTTACACCACATCTTAAACAGAAAAAAGCTGCTGGTTTGTTGACAAGCTTCTCTGTGGGAAGTTATGTACATAGAGAGCAAATCATGGGGATTTACCCTCCATAGTCCATAGACAAAAACTAGACCAAAAGTAAATATAGATTGTCAGAAAAAGACTGTTTATACTGTAAATCTTTCATCGGGTTGTTTCAACAAAAGCTCGACTGGTGCTTTTCCCATGGAGTTGCAACAATTTTGTTTTATACTGGAAGACTGCTTTGTAGTTTGCAGTGATGCTCTTTCTCACCACACTGGAAATATGTGGTTACACCAAAGAATGAAAAAAAAATTGTGACATTTGTGAATGGTCAAAGGTTTAAGCCCCAGGGACTGGCAAAACCCTTAGAAGGACTTTTGAGTTCAAACTTCTAACAACCTTAACTCAGTGTTTGCAGCTGGTGAACATCATAGGACCTGAGCTGATCAACATGAACACACTCAAGTCTGACCTTTTCACCACTTCCCTTAATTACTCCACACACACACACACACCTATATTATGCCAGATGTTGAGATCAAGAGAATTCCTGCTGGTGTGGAATGTGAACCATTCTGGAAAATATAATGAGGAGTCAGAGGAAGCAGCGGTACAGTACAGGTGTGGGTGGAGACCAAAGAAATAAATCCCTCCAGGAGCAATTTATTACTTTCCTCCCTTTGCCAGCACTATTATTTTGGAGGGTGTGGACTGAGGAAAACAAGACTTCCACAAGCTAATCTAATTTCTGGAAAATATGTAGTTAAATAGCTGTTACTGCTAAATGAGTATGCTGCAGTGTGTAGTGGGGCATCACTGGTTGCTTTGGTAACACAGCTCCTCGAGCTGGGGCAGATAGCTTAAGCGTCTTAAACACTTTGGGTAACTAAAGTGTTTAAATATGATTACTAGCTTTAAATTAGTAGTTCAGTATCTACATAGCTTCCATTAAATTGTGTTGATAGTAAAGCATAATAGGATATGTTATTACAGCAGTTAAATATCACAAACTAGAACTTAAGAATATCATATTATAAATTTAGCTAACCTACATGTATTGAAACTATCCTATGGCATATAAAGATAATATGAGTTGAGGAGAGAAAAAAAGCAATTTTGTGGTCGTAGTAAGGTGCTACAGGTTACTGCTCAGGGCCATTAACACACAGCGGGGCTCTTACCTAGGAACAAACAGAAGAGGTCCACTCCGACCAGCAGCTTCCTCCTGCTGTGGTCTTTGCAGTTATTGTTGTTCAGTGAACTCCCGCCGTTCCTCGTCTCGGCTGCCATAGTTTTCTCATATATCAAACAGCGTTGCATTTAAAACGCGTTACGTGGTTCAAATAAAAAAGGGAATACAATCTAGTCACTAGCTGTCGCAGTGCTGCGTTTACTTTATTTTCTACTAAAAGTGGCTAGCGAATCTATTTAAATCCCAAGGAGGAGTAGTCATGCAAGTCTGTACTAATATTTGTCTATTCAGAAAATACGCTGTTTCAGAATGTAACCCCTAGTTCTGGTCTCTAACAATTACAGCTCGCTTTCTTCCAACTTTTAACCATCCTTTACTACTTTCCTTGGGTAGTGAGGAGTCCTGCGACAGCCTTCCAAGAAAGCCCCTCCTCCAGCGCCTCCCCTTTCAATTAATGCCATATGGCAGCTCCTTCACACACACACACACACACACACACACAGGCTCATTCCCACACTCACCTCTGGGTGCTGCAGGGTGGGGGATGCCCGCTCTAACACAGCAGTAACAACGGGGATTTCACAAAGCACAGTGAGCCAGAGAACAGTGAAAACATCCAGGGATGGGAGCACATGTTGTACATCTGTGTGGTTAGTGGGGTCTTTCACAAGCACTGTTGTTTTCGACTGTAAAGTTGTAAATTGGTGAGTAGTCTGTGGAAAAGCAACCGACTAAAAATGACAAGATTTAATACAGACTGACATACTGCACACCATGACAAATGGAAACTCTGCTGTGCTGCAAGGATGATATATGTATGCCACATTGACCTTGCTGATAAGGAGCAGGATGGAAGAATCGGTTATCTCAGGAGTGAATGACTTTATGTTATATGTAGGTCTGCAGTAGTGACACCGTGCAGTGTGATTGCTCCAGCAGTTTCAATCAGGGAGAATGCCATAAAAATTTAATCAAAAGTCAATGACAAATATTTATTTGATGTAAGGCAAAAGGCTGATTCAAAGAAACATTCACAAACAAATCCTTAAATGTAAGCTACTACAAATTAACAGCTGGCTACTTAAAGGTCATTGTCATTTATTTTGAGTAAAGAGCAATGATTCAATTTGTGCTCCATTAACAGTGACATCAGAGAAAAGAACAAAGTGCAGAACGCAATGTGAAAATGTACCGACAGGCACAACAGAACAAAAAGGTGAAATCTGAATTATAGTACAGTCACATCAGCAGATCTCTTTATGATGGTTTCTTCCACTGTAGAGGGTTAAACAAGGGTCTCAAATCCTAACAGTTCTTTATACTGACAGTCTCCATTTTGCTCCATGTAGTGATCAGAAGGTGTCGGCATATAGCGGTGGGGGAGGAAGAAGCTCCAGCTCTGTGAAGTCAACCTCCTGCTCACTGTCATACGAAACACAATGGGACATCACAGTTCAAGAGCAGAATGCCAAAGACGTACTCTGCATTTCTAAATAAAGATCAAACGGAGCCTCCCTTGTTGATTAGAAGGAAACCGTCAACACTTACAGATATGGAGGCTCCTCAACAGCACGCAAGAGGTCTGGATGAAGACAAGCAGATACAAATGTCACATTAACTTTGAACTGTCTCAGTCCTGCACCATGTCTCCAGGTTACAGCAATCACATAAAAGTTATTTTCCACTAGAGGCAAGACGCCAGCCAGTGTTCAGACTGTAGCGTCCTCAAAGAGATTTGTAAGTACCCTCCTCTTCAGGTTCACCGTTATCAGTGAGTGTGATATTAGTGGTGACAACAGTGGAGTCATGGAAACAATGAAACTCTGAACTTACTTGGTGGCTCAGCACTTTTATAGGATAGAATGGAAAGAGAAAAACATTTTATATCATTCACACATTTTGAATACGACAACATCAGTGGACATTAAATAAGGTAAAGATAGAGGTTATGGATAAGAGAAAACTGTACTTGGTCGGGGTGGCTTCTCCACTGCCACCAAATTCATCTTTGCTGTGTTGGAAGAAGATGGCTAGTTTCTGCAGGGCCTCGTGTCTGGTCCTAAAGGTTGAAGACAAGAGCACTGTAAGGTCTTCTTTTACTACTATAACTCTTACTTTTCATATCCATCAATGGCCTACAGGGGGCGAGGAGCACCTATACAATACATTAGGATCCAATACAGTAACCCTAAAATAATTGCTACCTCATTAGGCTTACGATGATTTGTCCAGGAGGTGCCGATACCCTCCACATGTTCCAACAGGAGTACAAAGAACAAAGCTGATGATAACACACCCAGAATCACTCATTGATTGTTTTGGAGTCATTTTTAAAGATAAAATGTCAAAATTCTCAGATTTCAGCTTCTCAAATGTGAAACATATTTTCTGGTTTCAGTCCTTTGTGACAGTAAAGTGAATATCTTTGGGTTGTGGACAAAAGAAGACATTTGAGGACGTCACCCTGGGCTTAGGGAAACAGTGATCGACATTTTATGACATTTTATGGACCAAAAAACTAATTGATTAATAGAGAAAATGATTCACAGATTAAATGATAATGAAAATAATCATTAGTTGCAGCCCTAATGTCATTCAAATCTGGTAACATCGACTTGGAAGCATCCGATTTTAAACTAACTTTTTGGCCCTTTTTAGGAAAGTTAAATTGCCACTATTTTGCTGATTCATTGTTAACAATTTTTCAGACAAAAATAAAAAAAAATTTGAACATTTTATAGAAGAAACAATAGATTAATCAAGAAAACAATCACAATAATGTGAAGAGTTATCAATAATGACAACTGTTAGTTGCAGCCTTACATGTGATCATTACTATTTATTGGAATATTTGGAAATCACTGTCAGTTTATATCTTGTTTTATAGGACTAGTGTGTAACATTCATAGGTATGTTTTCATCAGTGTATAATCACCTGAAAATTTTGTTTTTGTTACTAAGTGGTCCTCCATGTTTCTACAGTAGCCCAGAATGGACAAACAAGCACTGGCTCTAGATATGGCCTTTCACGTTTTTCATGAGTTTCAGGTGAGTGGTATTCAGTTAGTTCCAATCTGCAACTTCACCAATAGAATAGTCACTGAATCCTACACACTGGTCCTTTAACACGTTAAAAAAAAAACACGTGTTGTCACTGTGTTGAGAATTATGTAATTCTGCTGGCCTTCTGTAGGACGGGGCATTTTGATCTGTTTAAACCTGAAATGCTACACTCAAGATAACTGTGTGACAAAGCTGATCAGGAGCAAAAGAAGAAAAACTTGACTCATTACTCCTTAAACCTTCAAATCCATTTCAACAAATAAAAACTCCCAAGCTTTTCACCACAAGGACATCTCTGTTATGCCCATATGAACTGAATGCAGCGTTAGCCCAACATGACTTGCAGTGAGTCAGACCAACAGTTTTACCAGTGTTCTGTGCCAGGAGGTAATCACTCAGTAACTGCTCTTAAAGGTCACTAACATACTGTTGCACAACACCAGAGCTACAGACTTTAAATGAGCTGGGAGATGAGAGAGGCAGGAGATGAAGTTGCGAGTATTTCTCAGCTCAAGTCAACAATAAAACAAGCGGCCTGTTGAGTCACACAAACATGTAACCGGATTGATGCAGCAGTAGTCAATGGCCTCGATAATTTACCAGCAGTGAGTCGTAATGACCGGGCCTGATGACCTTTTGCTGGATCAATAGCAGAACTGGTCATTCATATTGATGCACGGCATAATTTAGGTTACTTTTAATAAGCTCGTAAGAGTCACTATGTCTCCGGGGTGCACAGTTTCATTTCTGACACAGTGGCCAAGTGAGTCATGGCTAACATGTTAAGTCAGTGGCTTCATTCACCGCCTTACTGGTTCTTCCTGCAGAAATAAGAGGCCCGTCAGAAGCAGAAGAATACTCCACTTGTTGTTTATGGTTAGCTCAATATGTTGTTTTCATGCCATTCTGGGCAGTAATGATTTCGCTGTCTGTTTGCATGCAACAATAATAAAAACAGCCTTCTCATAATTGGCCACTCAGAATCTCGCATTCATTACTCTTTGATTAAGCATCTGCCATTGCTATTCACACAGCATGTAAGAATAACTCACCTCACTGAGAAATGGCAGTCTAAGTTTAAGGAGAAAATTATTATTTTTTAGGCATATATCTTGCCTCTTCAAGTCTCTTTTATATCAAGTAGATCTGGCACCATTTCCATCATTCCTGCAACAAGTGACTCTCAAACATTCAAGAGCCCCAGATTCAGCCACAACCTGTTGCTTAGGTAATGGATAAGTGGACTGGAATAAGTGGCCTTTATGTAACCGCCCACTGCCTCTTCCCTGCTCTGTTCCCCCTCTTTGTCCTCCACTGCTCTCTCTCTCAGCTTAAATGAGCTTTCATCTTTTCATAGTGTTGTTATCAAAGAGTCACGGTTGGATGGAGTTCATTAATTTCCTCCTCCGCGGGTAAACAAGTGCATTGTCTAATTATAAGCCATCACAGATAATGAGCGCAAACATCTCTGTCTTAACTACATAAATATGAGAATACTTGTGTACTCTTACTGCTGATTTTAACTTTTAAGCTGGAGTAGGTAAATTCTAAAAACCTTTTGATACTTAAAAATTAAATACTTTTTGCCATATTTGCTAAAACTTTTACTATATCCTGACAGTAGTACACGAGACAGATACTCTGTGAAAAAACTGGTTCCCCTGGCTCCTCCTAGTGCTCCTAATGGCATTTACAAGAATCCACAAAAAACAACCAATCAGAGCTAAGAAAGATAGTATTATTGAGTCTCATTCCCAGGTGTTCAAATACAGATGCTGAGAATGAGACTCAACAATCAGCTATCTTCAAGCCTCTAACTTAAAGTGTCTTTCTATCTTTCTCAGCTTTGATTGGTTCTTTTTGATCAAGCCGGGTAGATTCTTCAAATGTCATTAGGAGCACTAGGAGGAGCCAGATGAACTTAATTGTTTCACAGATTATCTGTCTCGTTGTTCTAACTGTCAGAGATATAGTTAAAGTTTCAGCAAATATGACAAAAAGTGATTTTTCTAAAAGTTATCTACTGAAGCTTTAAAATGAAGCTGCCAAACTTGTGTAATTTCACTACTAATGACTTTTACTACATATAGTTAAACATACTGCTGCACTGTTACAGCTGATATTTTAACAGCTTGAAGCTAAGAATAATTGGAAAGTGCAGGTAAAAATTGAATGTAAATTAAAATGGACACTGGTCTGAAGGGGTTAGCGCAGAGAGTTTCAGAGCAGTTGAACCTGTGAACACACAGATGACAAGGTAATGACACAGAGGAAAGTCAAAGAAACCAGGGCAACTGACCATGTCTGAGTCCACTCCTCGCTTCTCCGGCAGCAGGGGCTTCTCCTCCGTGAACTGCTGCTCCTTCATACCTGCCATCCTGGACAGCAACCTGCAATCACCATGGCAACACACACAAAAACACACACACACACATGTGAGGTTACGCTATCATTTCATCATACAGAGTACTGTTTGTGTTCATCGGCATTTGCATCACTAGCACTGTCCTACATGATGATGGTAGTTCAGTTTCAATTGAATGGAATGAAACAGTCCTTCATGGAGTAATTTCACAAATCCACATTGTGAAATTATGGAGGGGATCAGAACACTGATTAGATGTTGTACTGAACTGGAATAATCTGAGCAGCTGACAGATGAGGAAGGAAGAGATGGAATCAAGATGGGAGTATGTTTCGCTGCCCTAATTTATCGGAAGATTTACTTGTTCAAAAAGAATAATAATAATTCACAGCTACAGTCCAGAAATTTAATGAAAATTCATGATAAAACATATGATATAATATATGATATAGAAGCAGTGATGCTTTAGATTCAAGCATGATGTAAATCCAATCCCTACATTAAAGGTGTTCTCTGTTTTCCTGTTCACTTTCTTGTTTTGTTCTTGTATTTCCTTCCTCTTAAAACTTCTGTGAACGTGATATTTTGGGCATTTTGAAACCAGATTGGCTTATGTCCATGTTTATGTGCTTGCGGTCTTCTTCTTTCTGACTTTGTGGACACACTGTTGTGTTTACTGGCGCATTACCTCCAGTGTATCACTGGAGTCCGGGGGGGTCGCTGACAGTCGCCTGTGTGCTTGTACAGTATGTCCACATGCAAGTGCAGGAGATAAACATGTTAACAAAGTGCACAATTTATGTAACTTTCCTGCAGTCCTTCCATGAGTTGGGTCCACCTAACAAAGGTGGCTGTGTAAGGCACTAATGCAGATGAAGATTGTATTTGTACTGTCCACTAGAAAATGCTTCTGCTCACAAAATGGAGAGAGGCAACAGAAATATTGGAGTATAACTCATCATCCTTTTTTCCCCCCCTAAAGTTCAGTGCCTGAAATGGGGCTCTTTTCTGCGTGCATGCAGAAATGCTGGTAAGGCACTCCTAAAAACAAACAGCACTGAAAATGTCCTTGTTAAAATAGATAAAAACACCAGTAGAATTATGGTTAGATTTATGTTGTGTTTAGGGTTAGGGTTGAGGTAAATTGGGGTACTGGCACCTTTTTTGGCCCAATTCAAGTACTGCCAGGTTCAAAGCATGGTATCAACAAAAACACAGTTAAGTGATGTTCTGTTCTGGTTTGCGGGACAACAGAGATGCATTCAAAATTGGACTTGACATAAATGCTTATTGACCGAGATTACTGTAAAGAGTGGAGCTCGGAAGTGCACAGACTACTGCATTAAGGTCTAATTAAACTGACCGTTTGTGTTTGGGGTCACACAAACACACACACACACAGCCATAACACACAGTCATACACAAGGACACCAATATACTCTGACGCATCAGCACACAAACAGATCAGGGTCAGAAAGCATCAGTACAATAACACTGCTACATGATGGCATAAGTCCACCAATGCTGAAACACACATCACCACACACACACACACCAAGGTTATTATAGTTAACTAAAACTAGCTGCAAAAAAAACATTTTAGCTAACTGAACTAAAAATAAAAACTAGACTGTAAAATAACTGAAACAATATTGCATACCTACACAACTAAGTAAAATACAATTAAAATATACAGATATACAAATTTGACCAGACAGTCAAATTTGTCAACACAACAAGCATGTGCATGTGCATATGTTTATTGAGACTGGGATGTCAGCAATTTGGAGATATTTTAAGCAACTTTTACAACATTAGCAACATTTAATTTGTTACAGTCTTGTTAACGCTTGAGTTTTCACACATTAACATTTGTTACAGAAAGTGAGGAACATTTGAAGAAAATAAAACATTTTTACAAGTCATTGTTTGAGCTGTTATGGTATTACTAAGTGCTCATATTGGTACTTGGCATCAGCAAGTACCAAAATGTAATACTTGCATCTGGTCTGAAAAGGTTGGCATCGATGCATCCATGAAATAAACAATAATAACTAAACTGAAACAAGCAAGCTCACTGTGGAAATGATAACCAAAACTAAACAAATTGAAAAATGAATTGAAAACAAAAATGAAATGAAACTAATGAAAAATACAAAACTATAATAACACATACACACACACACACACACACACACACACACATTGAATTTAGTTTCTATTGATACTACATCACCTGACTGATGTACCATTGGATTTAGTACTCCCTGTTAAAACTGGCAGATTGGTCAAATTTACAGTTTTTTTTTAATATATATTAAATAACACTATCAGGGACTACTTCTGCCCATTTAATGTAAGTTAGAGAGATGGATGATGGGAGAGTGGGTGTAAATGTATATAAATAGCCTTATATGTTATTTATTTTATGTTACCCTAACTTAATCATCTGTAATGTTCTATGTGTGTATAGCATGAAGGGACTACACATTTCTTTTTAATGTGCAACCTTGTGTTGCTTAATGATAAAAATAAATTACCTTGTACCTTGTACCTTGTAACGAGTATGGCTGTGGTTTCCGAAGTGTTAACTTAACATTAATTAATAACATTAGCCTTGATATAGTGGCATCCAGGACCAGCTCACAGACAGTGGGAATAATAAACAATGAACAGGGCTTTTTATAATGCCATGTCACAAAATAATGTAGTTAGCTAATGATATGCTCCTTGTTCTTGGAAATGATGGTAGTCGGGCAGCCTGTGTTACAAGCACCCAGTTTAATCTGTCTTTGGATACCGACTATTGCTCCAACTACAGCCCCATGCACACCACTTACTGTAGGCACACAGAGAAATACTAAAATACAGTAAAACACTGTAAAACTGATGTTGAGTTTTTCTAAATGTAAGTGCTTAAGCAGCACAAACAACATTCCATTCACCTCCACTGAACTGAGGCGGTAACAGACATTTTCGAGGCAAATATCTCAGAACCAGGGCAAATAAAACCAAAACTATCAGCTTTTTGTGTGTGATTTGGGTAACTGGCCGTGAAAGGGCTTGCAACACCTTCACAGTGACATCAACAGTACACACAACACCTCTCTGTCTCTTCCCTGCTGTCTCATTCCACCCTGTCCTCTCTGTCCAACCTCATTTGTCCTCTGCTGTTTTCTCTCTCTTCTCTCTCTGGCAGTCATTCAGCCTAATGTGTGTTTTTATCTGACACTCTTTAAAGAGACAAAGCCCAGATGCCACTTACAGTCACTCCCAGCAGCCGATTAAGTGTGTGTTTTGCGTGTGACCCTAGAGTGTCACAGTCACTATACTTACAAGGGAAAATCCAACCTCAGAAATATACATCATCCCAGGACAGATTTTTAAAGTAAAGTTCCACCTGTCAAAGCTAATCTGTGAATAATCTGCACACAGACAGTGGGACAAAGCCTTTGTGTCCAAATGAGCTGCATTTCACAATAGTGCAAATAGGTCAGTGTACTTAGTAGCCAACAGATTTTCCTTTTGAAATAAATAAATACAGGAACAAATAACTGAAAACTACGGAAGCCGAGAACGGCCATGGATTTGTTTGTTTTTTTTATGCACTGTTATGTCGTGATAACAACTTATTATCTCATTATCTCGAGATAACAAAGTTTGTTTTCTCAAGATAACGAATTAATTATTTTGTTATCTCGACATAACAAAGATCGTTTTCCTGTGATAACAAATTAATTAATAATGTGTTCGTCTTGTAGGCTACCGGTAAATTACACTTTACATTGGTTTGTTTACTTGACTGGAAG